GCACCATCTGGGGGATGGACATGCTTGAAGCTCTGACTGGGGTGGAGGGAGGCAAGGGCAATGTAACCTAAACATTTGTACCCCCATAATATGCAGAAATAAAAAAAAAATTTTTTTTTTTTGAAAATGGTCATTAGACTGCCTTCACTATCCTATATCCTCAGTGGATAAAACCATAAGACAAATGCTTATATAAACACAGTCCCAAATATGCAGACAATACCAGCAGCACAATGACTATGTAAGCCAATTGCTCACAAAGGTAATTTTCCTCTTCCCAATGTCTGCATAGATGATTTGATGCCATCATAGCAGTTATTGTCTAAGGGAGTGAAATACAGAGTTGAAGACATTAATTTAGACTCCTATGAAATGTCCTGTCTGGGTAGCCTAGGTTTCATCCTTCTTCTTAGGACTAAAGACATTTGATTCAAAAGCAGAGATATAAAAATAAACAGTAAAGGTAAATTATGCATTTTATCAACAAACTACAGGTAGAAAATCTTGATACTATCTGTGTAAATCAGAACAAAAACAATTTTCATGATCTTTAAAAAGTCAACGTATTTCACAACATTATTTGTTAGATTTGAAAGGATTAAAGTAATTTCTTCAGAAGAAATTGAGCATTCTGTATACGATGAGATCTTGAACAAAAGTTCCTGACATTAAATGCTAAGTGTTACATCGCAACATCTGGTGAAAGAATGCCCCAATTAATCCATTACTTACCTCAGCAACTTCAGTGATAAGCACTCCGACTCCAGTGTAGTAAAATGGCAAGAGAATTACTGGGAGGAGAACAAGAGCTAAAATACCCAAGAGTGCAAGGACAAAATTATGCCAGATACCTGAAAAGACAGAAAAAAAAAAGCAATAAGCTCAACCAGGGGCAGGAATGCTATAGGTAGCTGGACTTCATAACACCTGGGCACTCTGATAAGTTAATAAGGTAATCAGAAGAAGCTGTGAAGCAGAGAGATCTACTTATTAGCACAGCAGACAGTTGTTCAGTTAGAGGCCACTTTCATTTCAGATACTGAAATCTAAAATGAGCATGTTAAAAGCACATTAGGAAGACCACATTCTATTATGATTTAATACTGAGAGAACTAGCATCTTCTATTAACTACACCCTCTTTTCAGAAAATGTATACATCATTAATTTAAACATGCTTGTGATCTTTGAAAGAAACCTCAAATACATTCAAATGAAGATAAGATGAAATTAAAAAAACATTCTTGCTGAACTGGGGTATGGACACCCAAATGGCACTTGGAAAAAGAGATTGTTTCAATTTTAAGAATTAAACAATTATGGAGAGTAATATCGGTGGAACAAATAGAGTATGTATCTTATATCTTGTCACAGACTATAAAGCAACAAACCATAAGATAACTGTGTCTTTATGTTAAAAAAAATGAAAATTTATGTGGTCAAATCCATCAATCTTTTCCATTACATATTCAACCTTTGCAGCTATGCGAAGAAAGACTTTCCCCTAACATTACATACGTAATTACTCTTTTAGGGGGGGGAGGATGGCCTTAAATAGTTTTATTTTGACATGTAAATCTTTCACCATTTGGAATTTTTTTTTGTATATGGCATTTTTGACAAATATAACTAATTTTATTCACATTTTTAGCCAATTATTACTGAGCAATGCATTCTTTCCCCACTAAATTAAATGCCACTTTTAATGTACACTACATTTTCATCTATTCTTTGGCCTGCTTCTGGATTACCCATTTTTTCCCACTGGTCAGTCTATTCTAGTGATAATAGTGCAGTTGTAATTACTGGTAATAATAATATTTCAGTATTTAGTAAGTAAATATTTTCTTTCAATTTCTTTCAATTTGTTTATTTTGGTTATTTTTCTTTTATTCTTTCTGATAAATTTGAGAATCATTTTGACAACCACCAAATATTATTCAAATTAGGATTTCTAATGTCACAATGACTGCAATAACTAGGGGTGAATCCACAAATTTACATTTCTAACACAAGATCATGTCATCTCTTTGTTTACTCAAATCTTTATGTCTCTCGCTAAAGATTTGTAGTTTTCTCTATGTAGGCCCTATAGATTTCTTATGAAATGTTAAGTTTTGATTTTTTTGTATGTTACATTACTTTCTAAATGAGATCTTTTCCTCCCATTACATTATCTGGTTGTTTTAGATACATAGGAACACTAAACTCATTTTTGTATGCTTATTTTGTAATCAACCACTAACTGAACTTTCCATTTAGGATTGCTTAGTCTTTAAATTCTTCTCTTGGATTTTCCATTATTTGCTAATGATGATCACTTATCTCCTCCAACATTCATACCTCATCTTTTTTCTCCATTTTGGTCATATAGCAGTGGCTAGAACTTCTAGAACAGTGTTAAATAGTTGTGATGGAAAGCCTTCTCTTGCTTTCTTCATGATTTTAATAAAAGAATAGCCAAGCAACAGTAGAGCTTAGATGGAATTGAGTGCCAATTTTATTCTGGCTTATATACAAAGCAGTGTGACTGCATAAAGGTAGAAAAATCAGACTATGGGTGATCCAGGATTTAAGAATACCATGGGTCAAGGGAGAAGAAAATCTATGGCTGTGATCAATGCAGCAAGGTACCCACAGACTTGAAGCTGGTAATTATTAGACAGGGCTAAGGTTTATTTCAACCAAACCCTGCTTGTGCTTAGTGTGGTTTGGAAATAAAAAAGAAAACATAACTACCTCAATTCTCTAAACACACAGAAGTGATTTTCAGGTCACCGGACGAATGGATAGGTAAAATAACAACTCATATCATTATTCCTTGAATCACCCACAGTAGTTATATCTGAAAGAATATAAACCATCACTTTGGCAAGGCTATAGCTTACTATAATCACGACATCACGTTTATAGTTACTAATGCTTTTACTTTACCCCCAAATAAACTTACAACTGGCTGATATAAATAAGAACAGGGTTTTCAATATTCGAGAAGGATCTTTAAAAATTTAAGTATGGAACCATAATGGTCAAATTTTATCTTCACTATTTAAAGGGATTTTTAGCGACAAAGCATAGAGAATTTTTTTTTTAAGCAATCTATTCTTCACTTGGGATCAGACAGCAGGTATTATTTAACCTTCCCTCTAAAAATTCTTTATACCTTAATTCAACATTCAAACATCTTCATTTTCAATGTGCTCAGGAAGTATCCCAGCTCATCCTTCTTTCTTCCACACCAAATTTCAGACAGATGGTTACTGGCTTTTCCTTTTCAAAATCAGTATGTATTTCATTATTTAAAAATAGCTATTATTAAATACATATACCACTCTTTAGAAGTAGCATTATGAAACTAGATTTAAGTATTCTTCAGCAGACTAACATAAATGACACCTTGGACTTTTTATATGGAAGTGGGAGGACATTTTAGAAGCAATGAAATTATATGTTCCTAAGTTTAAAACTAATAAATTAGGCAGTGGGTATATGTGTATCTGTATTTCTCTCTCTCTCTAAATACATAATTTATGTACATCCCCAAACTTTGGGGAACACACAAGGTTTCTCATGCTCTCTTCCACTTTGGTAGCAGCACCAGGGTGAGCTAACAGCTCAGCAAACATTTAGCAGGTAATGAGATACCAATTTCTCCTTACAGACAATTCCAAATCTTTGAATTTGCTCTCTTTTGATTTCAGGGTAAGACAAGCATCTCCTCCCCACCCCCGATGTTGCCTCCTTGCTTGGCAAAGAGAGCAGGGCAAAGCCCCTCAGTTTCCTAGTAGGCTAACAACTCACAAGTGGGAATGAAAAGGTGCTGGGCTAGATGATGTTTGAGATAGCAGGACTAGTTAGTTCCATGCCAATTAATATGCTCTGAAAGAGGTGTGTGGACACAATTTTTGGTGGGTGGGGACATATAACCTTCTTTGGTCCTAGTTTTGGATATTACTGCCAATTCTAAGGAAACAAAATATCCCACTTAGTAGATTTTAACCCAAACATGAAATTAATTAAAAAATGTTCAATTAGCTTTTAAAAAATTATTAAAAAATACATGCTGACTATAAAAAATCCAAATGCACACAGAAGGCCATGTGACGTAAGCAAGATGTTACACTGCTGGCTTTGAGGACAGAGGACAATGGGGCTGCGAGTCAGGAAATGCAGCCTTTAGAAGCTGGAAAAGATAAGAAAAAGGAATCTTCCTAGAGCCTCCAACGGGAGTGTAGCCCTGCTGACACCTTGATTTTACTTCATTGAGACCCGTTTCGGGCTTATGACCTCCAGACATGTAAGAGAATAAATTTCTGTTTCAAAAAAAAAAAAAAAGGAAAGAAATCCAAATGGTAAAGGAGGAAGTGATAAAAAGTCATCTTTCTAAATGCCACTTCTCAACCACCAGCCCCAAGACTCAGTAAATCTACTGTCAGCATTTTCTGTTTATCCCTTGATTTTCTCTGCCCACACCAGCATGTATATGCGTATATATACATATGTAAGCATTTATTCAAGAGTATTGAACAGGCCGGGCGAGCCCTCTGGGAGGCCGAGGCGGGAGGATTGCTTGAGCTCAGGAGTTTGAGACCAGCCTGAGCAAGACCGAGACCCCATCTCTACTATAAATAGAGAGAAATTAGCCAAACAACTAAAATTTGAAAAAATTAGCTGGGCATGGTGGTGCGTGCCTGTAGTCCCAGCTACCCGGGAGGCTGAGGCAGGAGGATCGCTTGAGCCCAGGAGTTTGAGGTTGCTGTGAGCTATGATGACGCCATGGCATTCTAGCCCGGGCAACAGAGTGAGACTCTGTCTCAAAAAAAAAAAAAAAAAAAGAGTATAAAACAGCAAGTTTTCTAATAACTTAAGAATATTAAGAATAGCATTTAAAGGCAGTTTCAAAGGATTTTAAGATCATTATCCATTAAACAAATTGCATCATTTCAATAACTGAAGAATGTGAGTGATGTGTAATTATAGGCCGTGACACTTGGTGTGTATCTGGATATACACACACAAACACACAATACAAGAAGATTTTTCAAGACATAGTTTTATAGTGTTTAAACTTTTTTTTCTTAACATCTTATATCCCATCCTACTGTAGAGATTGCTATATGAACTCAGTTGTGTGCTGGAACCTGCTTCTACCAGCTTGTCATAGCCAATTGTGTGCATCTCTTCCCAATTCCTCCTTCAGAAACTGTAGGTTGGCAGCTTGAAATTGGCCACAGAAACCAGCAAATGCTACTCTTAGAGCTCCCCACCCCTACCCCCCAGAGCCAGGTGTTATTCACACCACTGGATGACCCCTCCCCTCATACCTAATCTTCCCTTTTCTACTGCAGTTTTTCTCATGGGGTGGTGGCCACTACTAGCACTAGGTTGTGAGTGAAGTGATAGGGACAACCTTGTCCTATAGGCTGCAGTGTAGCTATGATGGAGCTGGACTTTGAGTCCATGGGATAGAAGCTGCACGTTGGGAATGTCAGAGCTAACAAGACAGAAAGAGCCCGAGTCTCCCAAACCACAGAATTATGTCAATGCTGAACTACTTACATTTGGAATGTTTTATGAGAGTTTAGGCCACTGTTATTTTCAGCTATTAGAGCAGCCAGATACTTAGCTAACACATGTTCCATGTACCATATTCAGATTGTAAAATGTTCCTTTTTTTTTTAAATGTTGTCAGTTGTTAAATTCCAGAAATATCCAGAGCAAGTTCTGGTCTTGGACTTATTGGGTAAATGATCATTTCTATTATATACAGATAAATCATTTAAAAACGCCAATGGTATCAAATTATTTATACTATATTTTGCTTATATACGTATTGGACATTTTCCCAAATCT